CCCACTGTAGATAAGCTTGCTTAACTAGACCTGCTTTCTGATTTAGCTAAACTTTTTCCAGCCCAGTGAAGCACCCCAACTTCTCTTTCAGGTAATTGTCAGCAACACAGCAGTAAATATCAACATGAAGCAGATTATTGTAGATCACGCAGGGAGAACAAAGGGTAAAATGTTTAACTGCAGCAGTGTTTGACTATATTCGAAGTAGTGAGAAAACCTGAAGTCATTTTCAAGGTCCACCATTTCTTCTTTTCAGTTGGGTCAAGTTTCTAAGCTTTCTAAATCTCCGTTTTCCAGCTAATGAAAAGAAAATAGGATTCCACCAAGTCTCCTATTTACCTACTCCAGGACTTCTGTAAGGATCAAATGAGATGAGGCATGGGAAAACGCTTCAGACATTTGGTTAAAGTGTGAAATGTTTCCACCTGGCTGTGTTCCTGGGCTGAAGAAACTGCAAGGAGGCTAGTCACTAGAAAGAGGAAGCTGAGTGTTGCTGCGTGACGTCATTACCCAGATGGACACTTAGTATATTAGCCAGATAGATAGATGATAGATAGATAGATAGATAGATAGATAGATAGATAGATAGATAGATAGATGATAGAAAAAATAAACAGATGTTCAGTAGAGTCAGAACTGTTTACAAAATCTTTCACAAGAATTTCATGACATTTTTCATGCTGTCAGTTATACAGAGTAATATGCTTGGTGGCCTTGTGACTTTGGTTTGCGTCAGTTGAGCAGTCATTAGGAGGAAGACAAACTACTGTCTTCATGGTTTCTCTGCCTTGGCTCAGGCCTTCATTACTGCACTTGGAGCTGGTGCACTCAGAACTGAGGGTGACCTCCTGTTGTCTTCAGGCACTTTTTACTTCACAGCTTCCAGAAGGGAGGATGATTACTGAGAGCAGCACAGCACTTAGGCATGGTCTACAGGGACCTGGCATTAGACTGCTCACAACAGAAGTCTTTACTTAAAAGATAGCTTTTCCTGTGAAAAATTAATTTTAGACTTAAATTTATATTACAGATTTAACACTCCAGACACCTTTGTATGAAGGAAAATCTTACTAAAAGTCGCCACCTACCTAATCCCTCCCCAAATTGCATCATTTTCAGTTCTACATTTTAAAACCTCTTCTGATTTAATAACTGGTCAAAAGATCTTTTATACAGTGTTTAAAGTATATCTGTTTTTGTTCTTATCCAGTTCTGTAAAAGCAAATGGTTTATGCTTAAGATTTCCAGTTGTAAAGTTATTGATACATTATGAACTTAAGATGATTTTAAAATCTGTCCTACTACATGTAATTAATAAGCAAGACCTCCATAAATCTTTTTCATTTAGATAAAATTGAAGTTCTAGATTTCAAGGTGAGACCATTAAGATGATGGTGTAGTTACAGAAATATTACACATAGCTTATATGTTAAAATTCTAAATTATACTTGCTTTTTATAATATAGCTGGAAAAATAGGTACTTTATAAATATTTTACCCATTAATGAAATAAAAGTACTAATGAAATAGAAAGTTACAAGTAATACTATGTCTAAAGGGGTTCTATAAAAATTTATAAGCTTAAGATTTCTAAAAAATTGTAGGTTAGTGGGGATATAAATGGAGTGGTTTCTAGTGAAAGATGAGACATTAGGGATTATTTCTTTTAATTTAGTATGTTTTCAAAGTGTCATCTCATTGAATGCTTTAGCTGTAACTGGATGACTAAATTATTTTGAAAATAATGTTTCGGGTTTATTGAAATACTAAAATATAAATAAAAGTTTCATAAAGTAAATGAGTCAAAAACAATTCTAAATGATTTTTTTCTCTTACTGCTTTTATACAGAGGTCCCCTCCCCAAAGGTTTTTTCCTATAGAAACTGGAAATTATATAGGCTACTTGTACATAATTACAATGTGATTGTTTTGCCCATTACCTTAGCTCAGTGATGGCAAACCTATGACACGCATGTCAGAGGTGACACACAAACTCGTTTTTTTTGGTTGATTTTTCTTTGTTAAATGGCATTTAAATATATAAAATAAATATCAAAAATATAAGTCTTTGTTTCACTATGGTTGCAAATATCAAAAAATTTCTATATGTGACACGGCACTAGAGATAATTTAGCGATTTTCAAAATGCTGACACGCCGATCTCAAAAGGTTCGCCATCACTGCCTTAGACTAAAGTTAGGAGAAGACTTTCTGTTTTTCATAGATATACTTGACCTAAATTTTATTTTACCTAAAAGATATTTTTACCAATAGTTTCTTATATGGTATTGTGTTTTGTTTTGTTTTGTTTTGTTTTCAGAGAAATGAGGGTTTACAAAAGAAAGATACTCTCTCACGTTCTTGATTTTTTTTAAGGAAGAAAGTCTTGAATTCTATATTTAACTACTTTTCTTTAAAATTTAGAATAACGTTTAATAAACTCTCTACCCTCTCTATTTATTGATACTCATTTGCATTACCTTAAGGTTTACTTAAGTGAATGAAATTTTATTTTTACTAGTATAGTGTTTAATGGTAATTAAATTATATAGAGGTGTTAGAGCTCTTTAACATTTAACATAATATTGAAAGAAGCAATTTCAATTGGGTTTGTTTCAGAATACCATTTTAGAAATCATTTGGCAGTATTAGCAACATCATTATTATATGAATGTATGCTAATGTGGTATGAAAGAAAGACACTCATTAAAATCTTGTTGCTAAACAAGTGACAAAACCCTACAAACAGCTTGAGGCTTTAGGCCAGTCACAGTTATTCCTGAAGAGATTTGGACAAGTGTGAAAATACATAGAATGTGCCTTTATTGTGATCAGAACACATAAATGCTATCTCTCATTAATTCCCTACTAAGGGCATTTCTATTTATATTAGGTAAAGAAGTCTTAAAATATTGAATGCCTAAGCATTCTGTTGTGAATTTCTCAGTGTAAAAATATTGTGTTCGTTAAATTCAGAATGTGGACTTTTGATAATAGCCATTGTGTGTGTGTTTTCCAGAAAAGGACTAGGATTGGTCAACTATAAAATTTCATTAGGCAAAGTCTTTCTTACAGACATGAACTAAGTGAACTGGTCTGGAATAGGTCTCTGAGGTTCCAGGAAGGAGAGGTGGTGCAGGGAGATCAGCCCATGGTTCATTACCACTGTCATCATGGACATTCCCTTCAAGAAGCCTTTAGGCAGATTTAATCCTTCTGGGTCAACTTGATGTACATATTCCCTTTGAGTATTGCTCATGTCTTAATTTTTATTTGGGATAATTCTTGCTCCTGGAAAGGTAGATTTTATTATGCCATAAGTAGAAAAATTAACTTGTGTAGGCATGCTAATGACATTCCAGAGTGAAAGTTTTTGATTGCCATGGTCTCTACTGATGAGCTGATTGATTATAAGTCTGCTTTGCATTTTTGAGTTGTAGGAAGTCCTTAGTCAAAGCGCACAAAACATGATCCCATGGTCTGATTTGGCCTGGAATCTAGCTCATTTGCACAGAGAGAATGGAGAACATTTCGTAATTGTAATAAAAAAGGTATCTGAGTAGGTTCAGGAATCAGAGAGCAATTGTTGGGACTGCTGAGACTAGTGAACAAGGAACTAAAGGAAGCTAATTCTATATTTGAAGTGGAGTATTACATGTCACCCTTAATTTAATGTGATTAGACCCACTAAATTTTTGCATTAAAGTCATTACCTGCATCTATTGCCTTTGTTCCTATTCTACCATGTATCCTTCAAAGTCTTCTGTGATATTGCAGGTACATACTGATATCTCCGTTGTAAGGCTCTTGTCTCAGCAAAGGCCCTCTAATGAGTTTTTATGCACTTAACAAATCTCCATCATTTCCAGTTTGCTTGTGGTTTAAAAAATATTTTTTGTGACATATTATGTGTTTTCATGGAGTCTCCTGAAATTACCTGCTTGTTTTAAAATACTTATAAATTATATTCCTTAGTAACTAAATGGGTAACACACAGCTCAAGAAAAGAAGGAAATCTTGATAACTTTGTATTACGAGTTATAAAAGATAGTCAGAAAAAGTTAATTTTTTACCTAGTTAATTCTTTGTGAGGATGATATAATTTAAGGTTTCTCTCCCTCTTTTCCCCTTCCTCTCTCTCTAAAAATCAATAAACTATATCCTCGGGTGAGGATTAAAAAAACAAGAAAGGGGTGCCTTTATGCATAAAGAGAAGACATGCAGAGACTGGAACCAGATGCCCATGTCTAGAAACAGCTCCTTTTTTATTTACTTTTAAGTATATTTTTATTGATTTCAGAAAGGAAGGGAAAGGGAGAGATATAGAAACATCAGTAACGAGCGAGAATCATTGATCAGCTGCCTCCTGCTCCCCCCACACTGAAGATCTAGCCCTGACCCTGGGAATTGAACCATCAACATTCATAGGTTGAAGCTCAACCACTGAGCCACGATGGCTGGGCGGAAACAGCTTTTCTTTTGTTCTTCTTACTCATTTCTTCTAGAATATCCTTTTCCCTCTTAGAAATCATATTTCTGCATCCCATCTGTCTCCTCACTCTATCTTAGAGGTCATCCTCTCTCCCTCCTTTCAAATCTCTTTGTTTCCACAAAGTAAATGACACTCATCTCATTCTGCCTTTCATTCTTGTACCTGTCTTTGGTAGAGCATGTGCTGTGTGCCAAGCACAGTCTAGGTCAGTGGTCGGCAAACTGTGGCTCAGGAGCCATATGCGGCTCTTTGGCCCATTGAGTGTGGCTCTTCCACAAAATACCGACTTCTGCGCATGGACCACGAAGTTTCAATTGCACTGTACATGCACTTCTGCACGTGGCATTTTGTGGAAGAGCCACACTCAAAGGGCCAAAGAGCCACATGTGGATTGCGAGCCGCAGTTTGCCGACCAGCAGTCTAGGTAATAGATGTTAAATTATGTCTGTCAGAAATTGTGTGGATATAATTACAAAATTTTTTTTTCTTTCCAAATGTTTTATTTCAGATTTTACCAAATGTTGCAAGGAGTCTGGAATGCTTATGGTAGTAAAATGCCGGAAAGAAAATTCTGCATTAAAAGAATGTCTAACCTCTTAGTAAGTAGTTATCTCAGTGTTTGTGTGTCTATGTGTATGTGTATGGAGTATATGTAGTAGGTAAGAGTTTATTATTTAACTCATTCAATGTAATATATTCTGTACCCCTGCAATCCATCATATTTTTAAGCTGAGTCTAAAATACCAATTTGTTAAACATTATTCTTTAAAAAAAGCAATATATTTATAAAGTGTTTCTTTAAGTTATGTGGGTCAGCATTGTATCTGATTAAATATATGAGGTCAGTAAACAAAAGCATGTTTTTCTTTTTGTTTTGTTTTTGTTTTAATTATTGTTTAAAGTATTACATATCTCCTTTTTCCCCCGATTAACCCCCCACCACCACTTGCACCCCCGAGGCAAGCACCCACCGCCCCCAATGTCTGTATCTATTGGTCATGCTAATATGCATGTATACAAGTCCTTTGGTTGATCTCTCACCGCCCCCCTCCCCTGCCTTCTCCCCGAGGTTGGAAGGTCTGCTCAGTGCCACCTTGTCTCTGGATCCATTTTTGTTCATCAGTTTATGTTGATCATTATATCCCACATGTGAGTGAGGTCATGTGATATATATCTTTCTCCGACTGGCTTATTTCGATAAGCATAATGCTCTCCAGTTCCATCCATGCTGTGGCAAATGGTAAAAGTTCCTTCTTTTTTATAGCAGCGCAGTATTTCATTGTGAAAAGCATGTTTTTCATGTGATTTAACCAATTTCATGAAGAGGTTGATCTATAGAATATATTATAGATGGGTTTATAGTTAAGAAATAGTATTTTTCATCTTTGAGTAAGACAGTGCTCTGCTTTAGTTACTATTGACATTCCATAAAATGGATGTAACCACTATGGTCTCTCATCTTTTCATAGTGACATCTTGAAGCATTGTTTGTGCTCTGGTGTCTGCCTATCTCCTCTTCATGAATTCAGTAAACTGCAATCTGACTTCTGTCCTCACTCCATTGAAGCTGCTCTTCCTAAAGGTTCTAGTGCAGTGGTTCTCAACCTTGGCTGCACCTTAGAATCACCTGGGAATCTTTTTAAAATCCTGATTTCTGGGCCTCATCCTCCGGAAATTCTGTTTCTTTGTTATGGGGTGGGGCCACAGCATTAGTAACAAAGAAACAGAATTTCCAGAGGATGAGGCCCAGAAATCAGGATTTCAAAAAGATTTCCTGGTGATTCTAAGGTGCAGCCAAGGTTGAGAACCACTGTTCTAGTGGGTTCATGGTAGCCAAATTGAATCTCTTTTCAGGCCTTTCTTTTACTTCACCGCTCTAGAAATATAAAATTCCCTTCTATCTGGCTTCCTGTTTCCTAACGTCTCTAGCTAATTCTTTGCCTTTCCCCCCCTTAACCTGTTCCTTAAATTTGCTTCCCTATTTCTCTCCTATTTCTTAAATCTTCGAAAGCTCAGTTTGCACTCATAGATTCAGTTACTTCCTACTGACCAACATTTCTATGCTTCTTTCTTCAGGGACAAAACTGAACTCAGCTACTTTTACTCTGCACTGTGTGTCTTTGTGAATTATACAGTTGTCTAGTATCTTTCTTGTCTCCTAGATCTAATTGGTTATTTCCTATTGATTCATTCATTTCCCAAATCTCCCCCAGATCCATTGCATCCTTTTCATCACAGCTGCTCCTCCTTTGGCCTAGGCCCTCATCATTTCTTGTCTGGGTCATTATAATAGTTTATTTATTGGATATCCTGCTTCTAACTTTGCTGGATGCTGTCGGATTCATCTAAGACACAAAGCTGACCTTACAGTTGCTCTCCTAAGAGTGCCCCATCTTCTTCAGGATAGATTTTAACTTCTTACTATGGCATAAATGGACCATCAGGATTTGGTTCTTGCCCTTTCTAGCTACATCTCAGGCCCTTTCTCCTATGTGCATAATCTGCCATAGTGGTTCCAATTACCTACAGTTCTTTATGCATCATAGTTTTCCCTCGTCTCTTTGCCTTTGCATACGTACCTTCTATAGGGATTTCTGATGGTCCTTCAACTGCAGCTCAAGCATTTCCCCTTGACATCTCCCTCTGCCTCATTTCTTCCCCATCTTTCCATGGTGCACTGGGCTATACCTCTACCACAGCACTTTTTGTATACTTAATTATAATTCACTCTTTACCTGTCTGCTCTGTGACACCATGGGCTCCTTAAGGATAGGCAGTGAGTGTGCTTCTCATTATATCCTGGGATAGTGCCATTACCATTAGGTCTTTTTATTCTTCTGGTCTTTAATTAGTTTGGTGGAGTAATGTTTACAGTGAATTTATGACCATTACTAAAACTCTTCGTTTGAAAAAAATTTTTTAATTTCAATTGCAATTGACATTCAATATTAGTTTAGTTTCAGCTGTTAAAATCTACTTCTGATGTTTGTGCCTGATGAACTGGATATCTGAATGTCATTGAAGTAAGCCTATATTAAATACTTGCAGAGTGATTCACCTTAAAAGATATTCATTTCTTTCTTATAGCTATACTGATCCTGCTTTTTATGAAGAATGTAAAATGGAATACCTGAAGGAAAGGGAAGAATTCAGAAAAACTGGAATTCCTACCAAGAAAAGGCTACAGAAGCTTCCAACAAGCATGTAGGCAAATACATGATACTAACTCTATTCATGGAAATCACAATTACCTAAAATAATGGTCTCAAGGAAGTGTGTCTGCTTATCCTAAATTATGGAAATATTAATTTTATCTGAAATAAAGTTTTTAAAAAAAATTTTTTTAAGTTTATTAAATGAGATAGAAATAAATAGTGAAATGGGACATAGTTTGCCTGGTCATTATGGATTTTTCAAAAATTTTCCACAACTGTAGTTCTACTAATTTTTAGGATTCTATATAGATCTTATCTTACTCTCTATCAATGTAGAGTGAAGGCTAATCATGGGACCTGAAGTAACTAAAGGAAAACAGGAATGGATAACCATCAAAGGTGTTAGTAACTAGGAAGTACAGCAGAGTGATTATGAAACAGAATCCTTCCTTGTTCTCCACTTATTAGCTATACAAATGGAAATAAGTCTCATGCAGTTATTGTGAGGACCGAGTAGTGTAAGCACATGGAATAGAGCCTTGGACATGGTAAATGCTCTTTAATGGCTAGTTATTGTTATTATTACTAAAGGCTTATTTGGAAATATAGATGGTAGATAAGTATGTAAAAATTAATTAATTTTAAACATGTTTGATGAAAAATTTTCTAAATGTATCACTATATTCCTTGGCCTATTAATTTGGCTACTGAAAATACTTTAATCTTTTTTAAGAAAGGTCTTCTTTATAAACCTAAATGACCATTTTATAACATAATAATGGTTTCAGGAATGAATGTAAAATTTTTCTGTCTCAATGTAATAATATGGTCCCAGGTTGAGCTTTTATATTAAAAGTTGCTCCCCCATCCCCCGTGAACGATTAACTTTACTACAGCTATTGCAACCAGTTTCCAGGTAAGTACATTTTATATATGTTTACAGTTCTCATTAAAATCCCAAGTAGAAATGACTACAAGGACAAGATTTAAATTTGTCCCCAACACCACTGAAATAGATCTGACATTTTTAAAGAACTTAAAGAGGACCCTAAAGAACCAATAGTTCCACACTTTTCTCAAGTGAATCACTCAAAGAACTATTTTACTCTTATTTAAAACCCAAAGAAAACACATTTTCCCAGGCCACAGATCAAAAGGAGGGAGATTACTAGAGCAGAAAAAAGCAAAACAAATATAGAAGCCTAGAGGTCACATAGCATAGGGTTGGCCTTTTTGTATTGGTGCATTTCCTAAAGCACAGGACTAATTTTTGTTTTTAATTAAAGGCAAAACATTTACTTTAAAAAGTTAGTGAAATATATAATATGTGGCTATTTTATAATTTCTATTTGAGTCAGAGTGGCCAACTTCAATTTTATATGGAAAATTCACTTACAGATGCTACTTTCCCCCTAGGTACTAGATATTTAAGTTCATCCTTCTTTATGTCAAAAACTATTGGTCATAGCTTTTAGACTATCCATGCTTATGCACACTCAAGTCTACATCTAGAATTATATACCTGCCTCAGTTCTTGTCTTGCTTGCTCATTCGTGCCTCTGCTGGTATTATTTTGTTGTGACAATCCACAGATTTTTCGCCCTCTAAGATCTACCTTCCCCAAGTAGGCTATCTGGATATGATCATTACTTTGTTTTCACATGATTCAGTCCCTTAGCTCTAAGGTTTGAATTTCCCCCTATTTTGGTTTTCTACTGTTTCACATAGGTGTCCCTGCTCTGCTTATGAATTAGGTTCCATTTTGACAGAACCTCAGTTTCCTTTTAGAGAAGATGTGAATTTTTTTTTTAGCTAATAGGGGATCAAGAGGAAGGGATGAGTGTCTATTTGTTGTTAGCTGTGTTCTCTTCATTGGTATGGATATGCAAAATTGGGATATTGTTAATAAAAATCTGAAGATAAAGAAATTTTCAAGGGAAGCTCTTTGGAGCAAGTTTATAAGCTACAGATGGGCCATTCTTTCATTTCTTTTTGCATCTTACCTAGAACAGAGATGGTAAAGTATACACTTAAAAATTAAGTATACATTAACAAAACTTAAGGCTGGGTACAAATAATTTTTGGTTAATCTTAAGTAATCTTACACAACATTTATTTAGCACTTTAAACTGCCAAGAACATTAACCACTGACTTTCTGTTTTGATAGCTACCCTTTTGTTTAGATGGAAAAGCATTTTCTCTACTCAAAAGAAGTTAGTTTAACAAGATTAATGTCTGTTATATGAATTAAAATTAACAACATACATTTAGTACCAGGCCTTGGAATATATAATCGACAAATTTCACCTACACTTCACATAAAAATAATTTTAATTTCTTTGCAGTGTTCAAAGTATTATCCAAGCCTTTATCTCATATGACTTATTTTCTTTACATAGTGAAATTTCCAATCTTGGTTTTAAAAAAGGCAAACCAGTCAGCTACATTAGAGATTAGATGTAATATACGGCTGCTACAGCCTATGCAGCAACATGAGAAATAGTTTCTGCTGCTTTCATATTACACAGGTAGTTGCTTCCTTCAGCTAACGCCTGCCGTCTTGTATTAGTTTTATGCATATTGTGTTTTGTTCTGTTACTTGGCAGGAGATTCTACTCCCTTGAGTCAGCTGTGTTCATTGGTCAGAATAAATTCCAGAATCTGACACCAATTCCATTAATCACAGACAAGCCTGAATAAGTGAGTAAGATAATAGAAAGACAAAAATATATGGTGAACAGTGAACATTGTTTATGTATGTATGCTATTCAGATAATATAGACGAGATCTGAGATATTCCTTTGAGTTTAAAATGGATGTTTAAAACTATTAAAAAGGCTAAAGGTTTCCCACATGAAACACTTTATCTCAGGCAAAGGATGTATGAAATCAAGTAATACATTTTATTACTAGTATTCTTAATACTGCAACCCTGAAAAAATTGATGTAAGTTTCCATGTGAAGCCATCCTTGTTATTTTCTTGTTTATAAATGATAGGCCACTTAGAATAAAAAAGTTTGAGGACATTTTACAATTATATGATATCAATATGGCACAGAATTTGGTTTCTAGAATTAAAATTCTTAAATCAATTAATTAAAAATCACTCAATAAGTAACACATTACATTTCAAACCAAAATCTAACAATTTATAAGCTGCTCTATATAACGAGTGTACTGTAGACACTTTGAAGAAAATTACTTTATAAATTATATATTTAGATTTTCATTATGGACCCTGAAGGGATAGATTAGACTGAAACCTTTGTGATGCTCTATTTCTAATTGGTTGATGTATAGGATTTTAATAGTTATTCACACACTATGTAGACTTTCAACTATTTCATCACTTTTCAATTAGGACTGGAGATGTACTGGGATAAAGTTGGCTTCTGTGGTCAGGTTATTTCAAGTCTTAAAATTCAAATTGCAATTCTAAGCTTTATCAAAAACATTGTGATTAAATTTTGAAACACAATAGCATATAGAGATGGAAAAACCTACATACTGTTATTCCACCATTTATATTTTTCATATATTTCTCAACAGGAAATGTAACTTCACATTGTCATTTGCTTATGTAACTTAAAGCAACTTATATAAATTTTCTCTTATATTAATGGCCTTCTCTATTTTTAATGAACAGCTATTTAGACATTTCACATGCTTTGTAAAACCATATCTAAAAACTTTCAATTCCATTCTTTATGTGAGGCAGAAATGTACAAACATTATCAAAGACGGAACTGACTTTTTGAAACACCTCAAGTTTATTAATTTATTAGTAGTATATATCTGATTCTTAGCCAGAATGTGAAGCTGGAGGGTTTGCTCTCATACTGGAAAATCAACTACATAATACGTTACAGTATGTGCAAATGTGTACATTGAAGAACTCTGCAAAAGTTTAATCGAAACCTGCTTTCAGTTTATTAAATAATTTCTCAAGAATACTTGCGGGAGGTACAGCAACCTCATGACCAAGTCACAGATCTCTTCAGAATTAATTCTTATAAAGGCAGTTTTGATTACGTTGATCCAAGTTATGCGGGGGTGGCAGGATGGGTAAAGGCAAAGTTTTATTTTTAGTTTCCCCAAACGCTGTTTCACTTGATTTAGGAGGGCTTGGGAGTACCCAAGAATTGTCTTCCAGAGAATTTCTGCCATACGAGTAGTGTTCCTGAAAGTTTGAACAGTCATGAGGAATAGGTCTCTCGTTATCTGTCCATGATTGGAGAATTGCTTTCTCTGATAAAATCTTTACATCTCCTGGTAAAGGGGGAGATGTGGTATGACAAAGAGTTTTGCCATTTGGTGAGAGAGGGGGGTGTCTTTTGTATGTTGCAGTGAAATTCGTCAAGTGCAGTTTTGTGCTTTCTTTCCCAAGGTCTTCCATGAATCCTACGGGGGCACACACTAAAAGAGAAAGTACAGGCCAAATGTCAGTTGTCATGGCATTTTTTATCATAAAATTAACATTAATTGGTTGAATTTATAACTGGAAGTAAAGTGAACATTTCCAACCTAGGGAAGTCACTGCACTGTTCCAGGTATCACTTTTCTCACTTGAAAAATAGACACAGCATAGTAATCCTATCCCGCCTGTATCGTTGCACTATTAAAGGTGAAGAATTTAAAAGTGGGAAACCAACAAAGTTAAAATACAAGTAAAGATTCTGTTCGGGGCTCTTAATGTGGCTAGAGAAGGCTTGCAGACTTTTTACTTCAGTAGAGAATAAGAAGGCTTTCCTCAAATTTCAGTGTTTATTTATTAAATATCATATTCCTTTATTTATTCAAATCTTTTTTTTCCATAGGTGGTCCAAAAGCAAGTTTTTTCAGAAAGAATTATATTATGAATTGCTGAGACCTAAATAATATGTGTTCAGGCTTTTATGAATAAAACAGTTTCTATAACAGCTATAAAATAATCCAGTATCTTATGAAATACATATAATGTAAGTTCTGCTACTGTCACAATATAAGCCAAGTAAAAAAAAAAATAACAAAAAATTTCTTCAGTAAGCATGTAATGGCTTAGAAAACAGACTGCTCTAAAGCTATTGTTTAGCCACAGTCAAAACAATGGTAGTATGACCTTTTGTTACTCTTCCAATTCCCAGGGCAGAAAGATCATTTATCCTAAGCCAAAAAGGATGCCAATTGCAACTGAGCTTGACTCTATGTAGTTTTAGAACAAAGCAATTGAACCACATTATAAAATAAGCTCTGTCTTTTTACTTGGGAGGAGAGACAGGAGTGAGAGAATTGGAAGTAATAATGTTCAGCTTTTGGGCAGGATGGTATTGTAGTCAGGAAAAAGGTAATCTAGTCTTGTCTCTGTCTACTCCTCAGAGCACTGAATTTTGTAATGAGGAGTGGTGGCCTCCAGCCTGCCACTGTTATACGAAATGTCCTAGGAAACTTACAGTTCAAAGCACTAAAAATTTATCACCAGCTCAAGACACAAGAATGAACCATTTCTAAATAGGGAAAGCATTTTTCCTTTATTATTATTTGGAAATTATCTTTATTATATAAATAAAGAGCCACACTGAAAACTCACTGCAAAATTACTGTAAGAGTCCCTTTTAAGAGAAGTCTTATTTCTACCATCAACTAATATTCCCTTATATATAACCCTGGTCACTAGAAAACTCAAGGACAAAATGAACCATAAATTAAGTGAGGGCCTGCCAAAGCACTATATTATTTTGTTTTGATTCGTAAGTCACTAACTGTAGAAAATGAAACAAATTCTGAACTTAGTTTTCCTTCACAATATGCAACATTTCCGCCCAGTAGTATATACTCCTGAGGAGAGCTATTTATAAAATACAATTTTATTTTTTTGCATTCCAGGGACAATCTGAAGTATAAACAATTTAAAACTGGATAATGATTATTTTTTATAAAAAGTCATATCATTACTTTAAAAAGTAAATTTTAGGGCATTCAAATTTATATCACACAACTTCTCAGAAATACAACTGTTATGTAATAAAAGGTATAAATGCACTGATTTTTCTCTGAGGTATAAAAATAGCTTTGGCAAAGTAACCACTACTAGTTAACACAAAACTCTAAAAGTTTAGTCAGCCAAACAGGTAAAATATGAAAGGAAAAGCAATGAAAATTTTTGTTTGGCTGAAGGGGATAAACATCTAGCCTCTCTTCTAAATAACCTATCTTTCATGGACAGAAAAAATAACTTTGCAAAAAATGAAAACCAAATAATGAATCAAAGTTACTTTTTTCAAAGCAAACAATTGAAAGAGCTAGGTCTTTGGTATACTCTGTAATGAAAAATAGCTTTGGGTGTCTTGGTGTTTTTTTTCAAATATATGAAGTAGTTGTGGTAAAAGGTCAACTAGAGCAAACTTAACACCTCAGCCTTATACACATAAGCAACACTTGGCTGAGAAAAAAAGCCACAAGGGGAAAGAATACAGTACTGAAGAAAAAACACATCAGTGAGTCACCAGATGTAAATTAGACATTTCTCTCTTCAGCTCCCAGTATACATTTTGCACATCATCACTGAAATACAGGGTTTTAAAAAAAAGTTAATGGTCATTCTTCTCTTTGTGAACAGAAGAGAATAACTTTAAAATAGAAATGCTCATATTTGCATTTCTGCTTGAATTAGTTTTGAGATTATGTAAATTAAAACTTCCTCATTAAATAAATGAAAGATATTTAATTAGGGCACTGTAACAAATGAAAAGGTTTTACTCATAATAATAACACTGACCTAATTTCTAGCAATTAACTGAACTATACTAAAAAGAAGAGTACTATGAAAAAAAGTATTCTAACCAATGAGAGTTTCCTATAGTTCTTGTCTCAGAATTGAGATTTTATCATAACTACAGTGCAATTGTGTTAATACATTTAATAGTAAGGAATAACTGATCAAGACTAAAGTGATATTCATGTATGGGTTTTAAATTTGTATTTATCTTACGATTATTCTGTTTAGACACTGAATTGAAATACTCATATCAATTGCTGAATGTACACCCAAGCCCCATTAAAATAAAATTTGGGTTTCATGTATTCCATTCTTTTATGTTTGACTGGGCTGTCTCATACTGTTGGTACTAAACCAATGTGACATGACAGCATAAGACATGAAAAGCCAGATGATTTCCTGGTACGGGGGGAAAAACTAGGGATAGAGGATCATATGAAACAAATAAAAACTTCACAAATGCCTCTCGATTTTATGATTAAAAGTATTTTTACCTCAATTATCTGATAAATTATGTTAGTTATTTTAAACCTAATTTTTAATAAGTTTCATCTTCAACTAAATATTCTTATTTGGATATTCATGATTTTTCCCCCTTTTTAGGTTCTTAATTAACTAAATAAATCAAAATCTACAATATATATCCTTAACTTTGCTGTACTAGAATACATAAAATATTAGAGTAAGAACAACTGTTACCATAGTGTCAAATGACCAGTATTGTTTCGTACAGGTTAGTGTAATTTTAGTAGCAATGACATAAAATTGGACAGACATGTCACTTCATGCTTTAATTTTTGTCTAGCTTTAAATGAAAACCTTTTAAAACAAATTTCAAGGAATAATACTCTTGATATTTAAATCTAATGTCCTATTTAATTACAGAAGCAACAGATATATTAAAAAACAATTATTTTGAATTATGTAAGGTTACATATGTATTTTTCTCAAAATATTCCATTCCACTCAGAATGCTTTCAATAGTAGCAGTGGAATACTTTCTATTGCCTCTGAGAAATCTACAGGTTTTAGTCTTTGTAAACATCACTTGTTCACCAGTAGTCTATTAAAAATCACAGGGCTGCCTGGCCGGCATGGCTCAGTGGTTGAGCACTGATCTATGAACCAGGAAGTCACGGTTCGATCCCCAGTCAGGTCATATGCTCAGGTTGCTGTGCAGGAGGCAACCAGTCAGTGATTCTCTCTCATCATTGATGTTTCTCCCTCACCCTCTCCTTACTTCTCTGAAATCAATAAAATATATATTTTTAAAAATCACAGGGATTTTTTCAGGTTTTTGACAGGTGTGAATAATTATGTCACAAAAATTAATCACTTCTACTTCACCAGTAAACATCTGAGATGGTGCTACATTGAATGTTTCACATAGGAACCTATCTTCATTGTGAAGAGAGTTGTTGGTCCTTGGTGCAAACCTGGGCATTTGGTGTGCTTTCCGCAGTTACTCATTACATAGCAATAAGTATAAACACTGTATGTATGCTAATAATTCATGGAGACAGTCACAATATGAATCATGCTGCCTAAAAGTAGTGTTTCATTATTGGCATGAGATGGTATATCAGTACCTGACTTGTAGAAAAGAAAAGCAAATACCAAGATAGTGTTTGGATACTGGAATATCAAACATATTTGAACATTCAAAATAGCTAAGCATATAAAATAAAAGAGAATTATCATAGAGGTATTAGAAGCAATGTCTGATACAGATTTTCCAATTCAGTTTAATGAAGACTGCTTATAAATTATGTTAAACTAACAGCTAGATCACAAAGTAGAACATCTATCTAGTCTTTTTCTTTTGTCCTTAATGTCACCTGGATTGAAAACTACAGATAAAAATACCTGAAATTATTACTAAGAACAAGCTCTCCCTCTTGTGGATGACAAAGTAATGGCAGTTACTTTACAACTAACACTGAAGTGCTGTTACAAATTTATTTTTAATTTTATCTATTTAAATAAAATGTTTAAATATTACTCAAGTGGAATTGGAAAAGGAAAGTTGTCACCCACAAATCTTTAGCAGAGTTCCAACTAATCTTCACTTAACAAGATATCTTGAGATTATACTGCAATACTGACCCCCTTTGCCTACCCGACGGGATTAAAAGTTAAGTTTTGCTTTAAATGCCATGCAAGCAAAATCCTAGTAATTTATATGGTTTCTATAAAGAACTTGTAAAACTACTCAAACACTGAGATGCAACACTAAAGCATCCAAAATGAGAACACTAAAAGCAATAGATGAAACAAAAAGTTGTTTGAGCATTTATTATATGCTAGGCACTTCACCCACATTCTCAGGCCAACTTGGCACACTAGGTTACCGAATTTTATTTGAGGAAACAGGTCCAAGAAGAATTTACTTCACTCTAACATGCTGCTGCTCAAAACCATCTTTTAGTTATCCAGTCTAATAACTGACTGGCTTTGGGTGTGGGGGGGTAACATTTTTCATATCACCCACAATATGCATACTGTCAACACCACCTTATTAACCCCCTTAAAATATTTCATACTTCTAAATCTTAAGTGTAATGAAACCTTTTATCCACATCTCAAGAAGGGGTACATGTCCTGCTTACAAAGTTAAAATTATGTAAAAGCCCAGTTTTCTTAATTGACACTATACATTTACCTCTGATGGTTAGCATTTTTTAGCAATAACGTATTTTTTTAATTAAAGTGTGCAGGTATTTTTTTTTAGACATATGTTTATTGCACACTTAACAGACTACTTTTGTTCTTATCCCAGAAGGATAATTCTTTTAAGAATTTATGTTATACCAAGACTAAGGCTGTCCAAGTTTATCCTAAAGATAAGTGATATTAGTCTAAGAATTGCATAATTCTCTATAAATTATGATTTATTACAGAATACTTCTACACAATTAACTCTCTAATAGCCTACCTAAAATATTATTGAATGTTCAAATATTTTGTTTAAGGCATTACATTATGCACCTTTCTACTAAAGTTCAAGCATATTTTAAGCATCAGTTAAATCAGGGTTCTCAACCTGTGCGTCGCGACCTCTTTGGCAGTCGAACGACCCTTTCACAGGGGTCGCCTAAGACCATCCTGCATATCAGATATTTACATTACGATTCATAGCAGTAGCAACATTACAGTTATGAAGTAGCAACGAAAATAATTTTATGGTTGGGTCACAACATGAGGAACTGTATTTAAAGGGCCAGAAGGTTGAGAACCCCTGAGTTAAATGTATTTTATATATTGTGATCAGACATTACATGCAGTACCCAAGTAATATCCGTTTTTAAGACTAAATAAAAAAAAACAACTAAGTACCTATATACAAAGTAGTCTATAGAAGAAGAATGTATTATTTTTGAATGCTGAATAATGTTCATACCTTGAAATGCTTAGTCTTTGGAGATCTCTGCTCTGCAGATTGTCTTCCTGAGATGGATCCTGTCATTTGTTTTAAAAAAAGTTTAAAAGTTGTTACATTCTATTTATTCTCAATACCAGATACATCTTTCAGATGGGTAGAATATGTCTATAACTGTACAGCATAAACTAGATTTGATATTCAATTTTATGAAAACACCTCCAAACCTATACAAGATATTTCAAAATCAATTCTAATTATTTAGTCATTAATGCTTTAATTTTAAAAAAATGCTCTTATGTAAAAGAATTTGGAATCTTACAAAATGTATTTCTGAAATCTAAAGTCTATATTCTAAAAAGGGTAACAAATAACAAAGTAATGCTCATTCAAGGTACATGTGAATGAATTCCATGAAAAAATGAAGTTTTATTGGTATTTCACTTTTCGATATTTTTTAAAAGTACCAAAATTTAACAGGTTATTTTTTTGAAAGATCAGCATAAACTTCCTTATTCCACGAGTCTATAAAATCCTTTATATATTTTAAGTTTTAGTGGTGTAGATTATAGATATGACAGAAAAAAATAACATTAAAAAGTAGATATGTTCAAGACAACTCTGTAACACTTGTTTTCAGTGCATCCTCATTTAAGGATCTGTAACAAAAATCACTACCATGGGTACTAATTCACTTGGCAGAAGTGGCCCGTATAAACTGAGAACAGAATTTAATTTTAGTATTCTTTATTTACATAATCTAAATATGTTTTAACATGGAACATTAAAAAGCTGTATAAGGACTTTGTGAGTACTGTGAACTTGGGAGAGTAAAATATTAAAATGTTTTCTATTATAGGAGTTAAAGCATTTTTGGATCTCTGATTATTCAAAAAATACCAACTAAAAATACTTTTAAGTTGTTACCTTGGGGAGAACAATAGAGGGAAAAGAGAACTGGCCCAAGAGTCACACAAGGTCCATAGCATATGACCTTGGACATTTTTCTTTTCTCTTCATAGGAGATAAAGGAATCACATCAGGTCACTTTTAGTTTCTTTGTATCACTGATTAAAAATATACATTTAAATTAATGTATACTGAAACATGTAGAATTGAAACCTTCATTTTTTAAAGACTAGTTTATTGACTTTTTTTTTTAAGAGAGGAAGGAAGAGAAATATTGATGTGAGAGTGTAACATCGGTTGCCATTGGGGATGGAGCCAGCAATCCAGGCCTGTGCCCTTGACCGGGAATCGAATCAGCAACCTCCTGGCGCATGCCCAATCAACTGAGTGACAACTGGCCGGGGCTGGAAACCTTCATTTTTAAAGCTAATGAAATTTTTTTTAAAATATGAGTTTGGGTTGGAAAATATCTTTCCAGCTATTGCCTAACAATTCAGAAAAATCTAATGTAAACTAGCATTAAGCACAAATGAATTGTCTCTAATATTAAAAAATCCAGTTCCCAGCCAGTCACTAGTTTGCCTGTTTTCTAAAAGGAAGTATGAGTCTGTTTCCTAATTGGTGCCATATGATGTGGGAGTTTCCCATAAAGGGGCCGACCCATGGCTTGGAAAACATTGCTCAAGTTAAACAGCTTCTTGTACTAGAGGACTTCTCAGACCTTACAGTACACTATAGTACATTGTGAATGGGCTATTATTAGGGACCTTAGACATCTACACCATCTCCCTTTTACTGATCCAGTGTTTCCTATATTTCTTTGGCAATGGTGGCTGTTTTTCTCAAAGTATCAACTATACTGGATAACAAGGGCTGGAATATTGGGGGCTACAGAAAGTCTAAAACAGTGGTCACCAACTGGTGGTCCGTGAGGTCTGAAAGGTTGGCTACCGCTGTTCTAATTGGCCCATAGTGGAACTGACCCTAAAACCTTGACCTCATTAATACCAAACACTAATCAAATGAATTCACTAAATATTTAAGCAAACCAAAAAACACTATTATGTTCATGTAGGATGCTGTATCACTTTTCAGAAGGTATATCTTTCACAGAAAATACTATCTTAAAAATATTTGTAAATATGGCTATAATAGATATAAGCAAGATTATTAATGTGAACATATATTTCTCTCGTTGGCTTGCTTTTTGATTCCCATGCTAACCAACACCTTTGAAACAAGACTTAAAATTACACATCCCACAATGTCAATATAAGATTTCAATCTAGAACCCTTGATGAATTAAGCATTTCCACTCTTCTCTTTCCTGGTTTATTTTCTTATATTAGTTGTAAGCATTTTTAACTTTATATCTCACCTTTCCCTGCCAAATAAATTCCAATGAAGGTGGGGACTTTTTTAAAAATAAATTATTCACCCCATCTCACCTTAGACTCAAAGTTTCTTAGTCTCTCAGATTGTTTCATCAGTAGTAAGAAGTGATAAAGTTTCTTCTATCTTCAAGTCTGTTTCTGTGATTTATGATAGATGAATTAAACTAAGAGCAAATTTATCCCCTAGCACCATCTAGTGGAAAAGAGTAATAAGAACTGAACTATAACACACACATACCACAATTATGAGCCAAGTTTTTTATGATTCCATGATACTGTTTCCTACTCTATAAGGAAATACCCATTATGTATACAAGCTATCAAATTATTTGAAGTAGAATATATAATTATACATTCTGAGCTTGTGACAGTTATAATTCAGAGCTTCAAGGTGCAGATTTTTAGTTGCAAGTACATCTTTTTAAGAGAAGCCTCTCAGGGCTACTGGCACCTGGGCTTGTGGGAAAGGATGCTAAAAGCCTTTGAAGGAATTGTGGAACATAGTCACAGGTTCAAAGCTGGGAAAATCAACTTGAGATGTCAAATAGGAAAAAGAAAACATTTTGGCTCTAACAAGAATTGACTAATTTTTGTACTGTTTCCCCTTTATCAGGGCTGGGGGCTCCAAGACAAGTTCTTCGTTCAGTTCACAGGAATTCATTCCGTCAAGGCCAAGGCAGAATGGTATTACTCTTGATTCCTGGCTCATTCTTAACCAGTGGTCACCGTAGACAAAGACTGCATTGTAGTAATGAGAGGACTGTCAGCTCTATTATGGACAGTTGGGATTCAGAAGCACATCCTGGCTGTCTGTCGGAAAGTGTTGGAAGTAGTCTTCTTTTAGTTAGTGACATGCAGAGGCACCTCGAGCAGGTGACACAGCTCAGTAGTGCTGAAATGCTCAGATGGGCAAAATGGTTGAGTTGAGAAATAATTATCCAGCTGGGTACCTTAGTTTGAAATACATGACTATATATGATGCATATAAAGGCTATCTGAATCCATAACTTTTAAAATTTGCATTTGCTGCACTGCTCTCAAACCACCCTGCTTCTCTATCATCTCTTCTTTTTATCCTTGGCACTATTTGCTATGACATCGGAAAACATGTATCCAAACTTATTAGAACCCAATGTAAAATATTAGTAAATAGACTCTTGGTGAAGACAGACAGGCACCTGTGTTTTAATAGATGACTTTAAGCTAACCACACTTAAGCAGCTAAGTAGGGTGTTTTGGGTTTGCTCTCCTCTCCCCTGCCCCAAATTCTTCAATTCTCAGTTATTTGCTGAAAATTAAACTTGCCCCAAAGTATCAGACTTCTGAAAACAAGTGGCCTCTGTAAAGTCTTTTTTAAAAATTCTAAAAATCAAGTGGTCTCTTGTGGTGTCTATATTTATTAAATTATTAAGGGAAACAAAACCGAGTTGTCTTTAAACCAGAGGAAAAAATGACTTAAGGAAATTGAAGGAAAGGGAGTTTGAAAGAATAGCTTTAATACATTAATAATTAATAAGTTTTATAAAAGTTAGTTTTTATACAACAAAATTATATAATCCTGGGATTATGCTAAAAGTATACAGTATATCAGATTTTAGCACAAACGGGAGGATAAAGGTGAATTTTTCAGAGAATGTAACTCTAAGTAGTTAGAATTTGTTAACTCTGTGATTTTATCCCTAGTGAAGTCATTCATACAATGCACACAGAATCTGAATGTCTCAATTTAACTCTGCAGTACCGTTTGTTTGGCTTTTTGTAGCTCTATTCTGAGATTATTACATTCTTTCTTCATCAGTTCTAGTTCTTGTTCCAAGCCATGGATCTTCAGGTCACAACTCAACTTTTCCACCTCCCAGTTTGATGAAGGTGGATTTAAATTCCTTATCACTGGAAAAAAGAGGGACATCACAATTTTTTTCTGTCTTCTACTTACAATTCAAAAAAGTTATGCTAGTAAAATGCAGATAGTAGAAAAACTAATAAAATATATGGAAAAATAGTAATAGTTTTTTAAAAACAGTAATTTGTTTTAAAAATCTATGCTAATTAGAATAAAAAATCTAGCAAGCATTGTTTTAGAATGTATTGTTCACCCCTATCCTTGATTTTCTGTTTAGGTTAAAGTATAAATTGGTCAACATGGAACTTCAAGATATATACTAGTCAAGCATATGCTAAAATTAGATTAATAATCTTTATATAAGTCAAGGTTAAGACAGTGACAAAAATTAAATAAAGTGAGTAAACTGAGGCTCACTCCACTAATCACTCCACATAGTCCTTTCAGAGTTTAAAGTTTGACACTTAAACCAAGAACATTGTCAAAACAATTTTATTCATATACCTTCCACTGTAGACCCCTTGATACAACTGAATACTAACTTATCCTGATTTCGTTCTTTAGTCTACCTAGAAAGTCCCACTAAACTACCATAAGAGATCTCATCTCAATCTCCTATCAAAAGGTCTCTCAGAGACCTACTTTTCAGCTTGTTTCATTAGAATGTTGATGCAAACATGCTAATACTCATATCCCACAGACCTAACTTTTCACCCTAGCAACTCATTGCTCATCTCCACATTTAATAACCTTCAGAAAATTTAAAAAAAAAAAGTAATTGTAACCAGTTCATGACAGTATGTCTAACAGTGGACAAAAGATTAGTGGGAAGAAAAGCCAGGACATACCAGTGGGCAAGAGGTTTTGACAAGGGTGGGATTCTACTCCTTTCTTCATCTACTTTATTACAAACTAGCCCTGAATAAAAACTTCCTCCACCTCTCCCCCAGGAATAGTGCAATTTATATCTAAGGAAAAGTTAAAAGGAGTTGAAAGCAGAATAAATTAATATAATTCTAAAAATTAAATAAGTTAAAGCCGTAGCATACAGATAAAGTAAAGTGATCATGGATATAACACACGAACAGAAAATATGTATTAATCCCATTAGAATATAACAAGTGGCATACCCTGCTGAGTTTCCACCTCTGTTCTTAGCTGGAGGAGTTCTACTTCTTTAGACTGCAGCTGTTCATTCAATACTTTCAAAGATTCAGAGTTGTCTTTATTCTAGTTAAGTAGGGAAAATGCCAAATTACATTCAACAAAATCTGCAGGTGATATTATATATTAATTTTCAGGTAGATGTTGAAAAATTGATTCTAGCCTTGTAAAAGCAAAGTGGGAAAATGAACTCAGTTTTCACTAATCTTTTTGTCTTTTTCTAACTTGGGACATAGTACTCACTGGCCTTAAAAAAAAAAATACTGACAAATTCTACCATGTCCTGATTTTTCAAAATAAGTGAGTGGTGTTAGATGTATTTAAGTCCTAACATCATTATATAGACTACTACCAGTGCACGGATTTGTGCACGCTGCAGGAGGTTGGCCTGCTGGCCCCACCCCCTATGGGGGTAGGGGGGGCGATCAGGAACAGGGCTGGCCAGGGGGCGGGAGGTTGGCTGGCTGGCCCCACTCCCTGATCAGGTGGGGTCCGGCCAGCCCGGCCCCAATCGGGGCGGATAGGGGCCGGGCTTATCAGGAGGAGGAGTCAGCG